CCCCCCCCCCCCCCCCCCCCCCCCCCCCCCCGCCTCTGGTCCTCTGTGTGCCCTGCTGGAGCTCCCTCCACTCTGCTGGGACTGAGGTGGAATTCCAAGGTGACTTGGAGACATGGGAGCAAGTGGGACCAGTGCTGTGACTTTGCCGAACTGTGACTCATTGAGCAGCAGAATATTCAGAAGTGATTCTCCTCCCACTAGTCTTTGATGTACTCTTCTTAGCTGTTGATTAGGACATGTCACTTCAAACATTACACCCAGGCACACAGGTGAAGTGACAAGTCAGTCAGTCATTAGGTGTTCATTAAGCACATCCTGTGTGCCAAGCTAAACTAGGCTCAGAAGATACAAACAAGAAACCACCACTGGCCTCAAGGAGCTTACATTCTGTTGGGGGAAGCATGTATGCTTAAAAAATATTGACAAAGTAAATACTATGTAATTATGTGATTCCTGGGAGGAGGAAGGGGCAGGGCTAGAGGGGACATCAGTTGATTTTCATAGGATACGTGTGCCTTTGATTTTCATAGGATACGTGTGCCTTTAAAATTGTATGACTCTTCTGGTGCAGCCATCTGTTGAAATAGATTTTTGATGTATTGGTAGATTTTAGTTTATTACAAGTGGGGATAGGCTTATCTTTCAGCAGAAAACAAGATAGCTTAACGTTTTGATAGTGGGTCTTTATTCATATAAAATTGGGGTGCATTCCTTAAATTTGCTGATTAGAATTCTGGTGCTAGGGGTTGTTTGATATCTTTCTTGCATCATCACATCTGGCTCTTGTTTTGCAGAAGATGATCTAAGAACTGTGGGACCAGTAGATGCTCAAATATATCTTGAAGACATGTTATGGAATAAAGGTTGGAAGGCATTCTGACTTTTCCCTCCTTTTGTTAGATTCTTTTAAGGTCGTGGTAGTTGATCCAATTGATTATTATTTTGCTTTGATTTCAAAAATATCCTAGCTTATTTTCCAGAACTGGAATGTTTTGTTTCTAATTAAGCTCTTGCAGTAGGGGCTTGTTTGAAATTTAGTGTGCAGTGATATTGCTTGGTTTCTGTTTTATGGATTTGATATTTTTTTCTCTTATTAAATGTCACTTGCAATAACTTTTTCCCCCTGCTGTGGTAGTTGTATTTATTTCCATTGTCTGCATAAAATAGCAAGTGAAAGGAATTTTAACTTCTTAAACAATTGTTGACGACAGTTGAAATAAATTATTACTGGATTTTTGTGCCAATTTATATTTTCTTAACCCCTTTGGAGATTTTCAGGGTTGCCATTGAGTTTGGGTAACTACATCTGATGTTTCATTCCCTACTTCTTACTAGGGTTTGTTACTTTTGTTTTACTTTGTTCATGCTCGGGTTTTTTTTTTTTTCTTTTTTAATATCTTTTTTGTCAGTCTGTTTGTTCCTGGTCCATCATGCCATTTGGGCAGTTATATTTTTTAACCTCTTTACTTGGAATTTCTATGATTTTTGCTTTTCAGTTCTGCAAACATTCCTTATGTGCCTTTTAAACTGTCACAGATAGCTGTGGATGTTTAAGTTGTAATACCATGTAACATTTTTTTTTTTAATGCCACAACTTTACTTAACAGATTTCACACGGACAGATAGCAAGAACATTTTGTTTTGTACACTTTATATTTGCATATTGCAATTATCTGTCTGTACTTCAGTCTTATTGCCCTTCCTGGAAGGGACGGCCCCCATCCAGACTGATTGATCTCCCCTAGTGCTCAGCATAGTGCTTTGTGTGCCAGGTCCTTAAAACAGTGACTCTGTTTATCTCATTTACATCACACCATACACTGAGATAGAAGATCAGGATTCTTACAAAGAAAAATTTTCAGGATCCGGATATATTGATTCTCACCTTTTTGCCTGAATTCTGGGCCACTTTTTTCAGATCATTTTTAATGAAACTTTTCTTTTCTTCCCTTAACTAATGTGTGATGGTAGACAACACTAATGTTATGTTTAAAAGTCTATGTAAGCATTTAAAACACCTTTTTTATTTTGGCTTTTTTTTTTAAATAGATGATCAGTGTTTTACTCTCAGTTGCCGATGTGGTGGAAAATACTGTGTTTCCAAGGATGAAGCTGAAGAAGTGAACCTGATCTGTTGTGATACGTGTTCACTAATTATAGAAATTGTTCAGCACAGCTGAGATTGTTCAGTACATAGAACTGTAAAACTCTTATGTTCAGTCACGTTGGGGAGGCAGAGGCTTTGTCCGTTGGAGAAAACATCGATTTCAAGTAGAGCTGAGAAAAGAAGTGGGAGTCCTTTTGTCCATTGGAAATGCTGCTGAAAAACGTCAACTCAAATACTGTTTTCAGAGTTTGCCAAGAAAATGTAAAATTGGCAAGCAGAGCCCACCCCCTGTATCAACAAAACATGAATTTAGTTACTTGGTGAATTCCCATACTTAGAATGTTGGGGCCTCATTTTGTTGTCTCTCCTCCATGAGTGGAAGACGTTTTCTTCCAAGAGCACAGAAATAAATGCAAGCAGTGGGTCTCAGCGAGTCTCATGGTTGGGGCTTTGCTCTGTGAATCCGTCTGTACCACTGATCTAGAACTTCCCTCTGCTTAACTCACAGGGCAATTATAGGGATTAATGAAGTGGAACCAGATATCCTACTAGGGGAAGCTCTATATTCTTCGTGTAGAAACATTTTGTAAATACAACTTGACCCCAGTTGTCTCTGATTTTGAAGATCTGATTAATGAAGCAGCATAGTGTGGCAGAAAGGACACTAGACTCAGATCATAAGAACTCAGGCGGCTTTTACGAGATCTGTGGCCAGTTACTTACTGTCTCTGAGCCTGTTTCCTTATTTGTAAAGAGCTTAGCATCAGCACAGTGCTTGGCTCGTAGTAATCTTTCTAATGTGGATGCTTATTCCCTTCCTTTCCCCATATGGACAATACCATCTACCTTACCTAAAAAAGTGGTGTTTGTTTTTTTTTTATTTATTTTAAGATTAAATGTGACAAAGTACATGAAAGAACTTTTAAAACTGCAAATCACTATAAATGTGAGGTATTTTATTAATAATATCCATCCCTGCCGTTGTGGAAAAAAAGAAACCGGCATAAGCTGCAGCGTGAGCAATTTGGGTTAGTTATAAGAATAGAATGAGATCCTAACTATATATAAAGTTAAGCAAAGGGTTTGTTGGTTGGTTTTTCCCTTCCTTAGGATGGGGAAACAATCATCTGTAGTCAGGAACCAAGCACGGCTTTATAACGATATAGTATAGAGAACTAGTCCAATCATGCAATTTAGGTAATGGCTATTTATGGTTTCAATAAATCATTTTAAATAGGATTTTTTTTAAAATTATAAAAACATAGCATTCCTGACTATTTCTGAATTTGGAATACAATGTTATTGGTATCTTGAAACCAATATTTTCCTGTCCTATTTCTTACTTTATAATTGTAAATTTCATAGATGTCACCGTAACCATTAAGCAGTTTTATATTTCTATATATTTAGTGTTCTGTGTGTAACACAGGTCAGATCTCATTTTGGAGAATCCCAAAAGATTGCTGAAATTCTTTGTTCTTTTTGTTGAATAAATGGGCCAAACCTAGAACTTGGCAGTCTTTATTATGGGAAGTTTCTGTTGCAGCCAGATTTGACCTGTAATTAAAAATAAGTGGTCACCACCCTCATGGTTAGTGTAGCCAAACCAAAGCATAATTGAGAAGGAAGAATAGAATTTCTTTGGCTGAGTCTATAAAACACAAAGTCCAACTGAAAGTAAAAGAACTAAATCAGTGATCCAAATATCTAGCTATTTAGGTCATACAAAATACCAGGATGGTGTTAATCTTTTCTTCTTTTAAATCTACAATTTTTACTTTTGGGGCAGGGAGGGGTGGGGTGGAAGAGAGAGGAGAAAGAGAGTGAGGAGAGGAGAAGAGAGACAGAAGGGAGAGGAGAGTGTGTGTTGTGTGTGTAAAGCTTCAGTAATAGATTGGACTACCTTCTGTTTCACTCCTATTTGAAAATAAAATTGAATATAAAATATTTTATTTATAAATACATGGTTTCAGTGACTTAGTAAAAATGTTTCTTTAAGAACACGATGCTATAATGAAGTGATTTGGTTGGCTAAATGCTGATTACTCATCAGAAAATCTGTGGCCATTGGGACTATCACGTAGAAATCCAAAATCATTCAGAGGCCAAATCTGTAAAACGAAATATAGTTCAAAATAGTTAATATTATACTTTTCTACGATGTTAAAGAAATATATTATGTATTTTCATTCATTCTTTTTCTTGTATCCTACCACTAAATCTGTTTTTGCCTCATTTTTTCCATCAAAAAATAAAGTTACATTGATAATCTTTAAGGAAAATAACTCATTTTGGTTTCCTGAATCCATTTTACCATAACTATTTTTAAAAAACATCCAAAGAAAAAATTCCAGTTAAAACCCATGTTTCAAGGCTCTATGCTACATGTGAAATTAGGTTTACATATCTTTTATCTTTGATTCCATCATCAAGTGAGATATAATGGAAAATCATGGGCTTAAAGTAATCTGGGTTTTAGACAGTTGGGTATAGTATCCCTTTCCTTGTGAATATTCCTCAAATGTTCTGCCATTTAAGAGTTATTTTTGGGATCAGCCCTGCCCCAAGTAAGCATGTCTATTTTTCTCACACACATCACCCACCCATGATATAAATAAGAATAATGGCTTCTTCTTTCTAGATTCAGTAATGACCAAAACTCTTAGCAGAGCTATGCTTGTGTTCTTCCTTTTTTAGGTTTTTTTATGTTTAGTCAGCCAGGACCACACCTGCCATAAGGAGTCCTATTTGAATAAAAATTGCTTTTCTATAAAAGTAGATAACATATGCAAGAGAAGAACATTTCACAAGATCCATGATTTCCTGAATATTGATACTCCCTCCACTAACATCATAACCCCTTCAAGTCTTCGTAGATTGTCTTCATGAGCTTAGAATGCATTTCTAAAATAAATAGCTCTAGGAGGGAAAAGCAATTTGCTAAAATGCTGTCCTTTTGTGATTTAAATTAAAGCTTGCTTCAGGGCGGTAGATTCAACTTCATTATTCACTACACTACACTAAGGTGACTTTTGTTTAACTACAAAAAAATTCTTATGAATAATTACAGGGATATTGGGAGGAATCAGGTTGTTCAATGCACATTAGCTGTCCTAGGGTGGGCCACAGTAAAGACCACTCACCAGTTCTGGCCAATAGGTTTGCATGCTCCCTGAAAAGCCATGGTGCTACTTTTGATGTCAAGTAGCTTTAATGAAAAAAAAAATGCTTAAAGATTAACCACTCCAGTGAGTTTTTTTTTTCTTCCAAGCTCAAAAAGTAACCAGTGTTTTAAATAGCAAATTATACCTTTAAGCAAATACGTCCTCTGATTAGTCCATATGGAATAGGCCCATAGTACCTAGAATCTGTAGAATTCTGGAGATTATCACCCTCCAGCCAAACATGACCTCTTGGTACCTAGGGTTAAAGACAAGGTAACCCCACCCCCAAAAAAAACATTATATTAAAAAGTAAATAGCATCCTAAAGCAATTTTTGGTAAAAGACATACAATTTATATCACTTAAGCCATAAGTCCCCTAAATTTGCTACATGTTAAAATTAGTTTTTGATAAAATAAGATGGATTGGGGTTCAGTTAAAATAAATCCTTATATATTTTCTGTCACACATCCCTAAAACATTGGTTTGTTACATCAAACCCTGAAATGAAATTATAAAAGGTTTCAGCAATGTGACAGGGTCATTAATTTAATAGATTTCAAAAGAGGTCATTAAAATGTTGACTGAAAATGTGCCCTCCTATCGAAGTAACAGCATGAATGGGGCAGCCACATACTCATCAACGTCCTGGGGCCAGTACCAAGGATAGACCTATTAAGAGGCCCATGATGAACTAAATGGTAATTGATTGTGACATCAATTACCATTAATCTCATCATTTTATAAGACTGGGCTTGTCAAAGTTCTAATTAAGATCACAGTTCCTTCTGTGTTCAGGAAGGATCTGCAACACATTATATTGCAATAATGACCATCACAAACAGCTTTAATACATAAAATTTGTGAAATTAATGATGGTGGCCTGACATTATATAACAAAAACCTTTTATTTCCTATATGTCCTTTGCATTGACTGTTACACACTGCAGGCCTGTTTCTCAAAGAAATCAATGACAAAAGAAAAGAAAGTCAGCCAGTGAACAAATCAGCAGAGAAAATAATTGAGCACATAGAATATGTAGTAACTTCTAAAAATGTCTGTTATGCAGAAATGAAACACTTCAGCATTAATAACTGTTAACTAAGCTTCTATAAAAGGGAATCACTACACATAACAATCTTCCAAGTTATTGTATGTACTTGACTATAGCCTTTAGCAAAGAAACAAACTGGCTAGATGTAATTTAATTTTCTCAGAAAGGAATTTTGTTTTATGAGCAAAACAAAAAGGTTACCCAGCAACAATTAGTACTCTGATTAGGCTTTTACTTAATGAATAAGATACAGGTATGTCCCACCTAATGTTGGTAATTGGCTCCTCAGCATTTCAAGGGACAGCTAATTCATAGGCATATAAGCAGTGAGAAGTCAAACAGTATTAGTGAGGTTTTATGACTTATGGTGGGGTTTGGCTATGAAGTATTAACCATCTTCTTATAACATTACATTGGCACTGGTCTAGACAGTCTAACCAGGGGAAGAGAAGAGATGGTATATACCTGGATGAAAAAAAAAATTCCACGTCAGGCCCCCCAAATTCCAAAATATATCAAAGATGTTGTTCAGTTGTTTCAGTGGTGTTGGGTTATTTGTGACCCCATTTCGGGTTTTCTTGGCAAAGCTATTGGAGTGGTTTGGCATTTCCTTCTCCAGCCATTTTACAGATAAGGAAACTTGAGGCAAATAGGGTTAAGTGACTTGCTCAGAGTCACACAGCCAGTAAGAGTCTGAGGCCAAATTTGAACTCAGGCCTTTCTGCCTCCAGGCCTAGCACTCTATGCCCTGTGCCAGCTAGCTGCTCATACAAAGATGACTTTACATCAAAGATCAATGCGTATAATTTTAATTTGCCACTTCATACATAGCAACCACATAAAGATATAAAAATTGTTGCAAACATTCACGTTGAATCTTTCCATTCAGCAGCTATGTGAATGTAATCAGAAAAAGCAAATAGGTTTCCTAAAAAAAGATATCAAATAACAAGTATCAAGTAACAAGATCATAACGTGGCTTTTCAGTTTTCTTATTAAAACCATTTCTATGAGTAGGTTCATACACACAAGGGCAACACAAGACTGTATCTGCTCAAGCAGAAAAACGAATACCTTGAGTAGCTATTCAGGTCAGACAAAGGAGGAAAGAACTAGATGAGTTTGTGAAAAACATCTGGATTGGAAAAAACTTTTTAAAGATGAAACACCTTTAGTGCATTGATTCCTACCATATTCCTTGTAGTGCATATTTTCATATCTTAGAAACAAGTGACAGGTTTTAAAAAATTCCATTTTAGAAGTTACAGACACTAACAAAAGCCAAAAGACACAATGTAATTTCACAGCAATGTTAGGAGAATTCAGGCACAAACAAGATTCAATAAAGTCTTCCTATTTCCACTCCCAAGGCTGAAATGATCCCTGTGGGTCTATCTCAGTTTCACTGTCTCAGGCCTCCCCAATCTCTAGACCCTGATTGCTCTGAAATCCTGGGGCATTGGTAAATGCCGCTCTCTTCCTACTGTTCTGTATTGTTTTTTTAACCGTGTGGTCTTCCTTTCGTCTTCCCAATGAGGCAGGTTCCTTGAGGGCAGGGATTGTATCTTAAACTTCAATTATTTCTCCCATAAGACCTATCACAAGGTGGGAAACAACAGAAACTCAATACTTCCTAAATGTTCAGTTAACCAGGATGCAAAAGATAGTTACAAGAAGCATCCTATAGTCCTTGGCCTCTAGTAATTCTTTATATTGGGGTAATGATTCTGTTTGACCACTATGAAGTTTTTACTGGTAGTAAGTAAGCCCACTGCCTGGCACAGAGAGTAGGCCTTTACTAAGTATTGTTGGTTGAAGGTGATGATAAACAATCATCAATACCTGAAGCTAGTGCTCTGAACGTTCCTGCTACATGTATGGATATACATCAATATATAAATAAATCTAGGCTATACTTTGATTATAGCCCAGGAAAAATACATGAATTAAAAATACTCCACCATTAATTATGCTCACTCTCAGAATTCCAGATCTGATGCAGCTTCAGCAGGACAAGTATCACTTAACTCTTTTACACTAAGATGTAAATGGGCAATATGATTAGCTATCTCCAAGAGGTTTACATTAATGAGAAAATGGTCTTATGCCAAAGCATAGAATTTCAAATATAAAGAAGAAGGTTTCACCAAATGAAAAATGGTCAAAAGATACGATCAGGCAGTTTTCAGAGGAAGAAATTAAAGCTATCTATAGTCATATGAAAAAATGCTCTAAATCACTATTGATTAGAGAAATGCAAATCAAAACAGCTCTGAGGTACCACATCATACCTATCAGATTGGCTAACATGACAAAACAGGAAAATTATAACTGTTGGAGAAGATGTGGAAAAATTGGAACACTAATGCATTGTTGGTGGAGTTGTGTAATGATCCAACTATTCTGGAGGTCCATTTGGAACTATGCCCAAAGGGCTATCAAAATGTGCATACTGGTATCTTTGACCCAGCAATAGCACTCCCAGGGCTGCATCCCAAAGGATACAGGATAAAAGCAGGAAAAGGACCCACATGTACAAAATTATTTATAGCAGCTTTTTTTGTGGTGGCAAAGAATTGGAAATTGAGGGGATGCCCATCAACTGGGGAATGGCTGAACAAGTTGTGGTACATGAATGTAATGGACTACTGTTGTGCTATAAGAAATGATGAGCAGGCAGACTTCAGAAAAACCCGGAAAGACTTACACAAACTGATGCTGAGTGAAATGTGAAGAACCAGGAGAACATTATACACAGTGACAACCACATTGTGCAATGACTGACTTTGATAGACTTGACTCTTTTCAGCAATGCAAGGATCTAAGACAACTCCAAAAGACTCATGATGGAAAATGCCATCCACATCCAGAGAAAGAACTGTGGAGTCTGAATGCAGATGGAAGCACACTATCTGCTCTCCTTTTCTTTTGTTGTTTTTAATTGCTTCATTCTTGTGGTTCCTCTCCTCAATTCTAATTCTTTACATCATGACTAATGGGAAAATATGCTTAATATGAATGTATAAGTGGAGCCTATATCAGATTGCACCGCATCTTGGGGAGGGGGGAGGAGACAGAGAGGAAGAAAATTTTAAATTCAAAATCTTATGGAAGTGAATGTTAAAAACTAAAAATAAAAAAATTAATTACTAAAAAAAAAAAAGGCAGCTAGGGCGCAGGGGTTGAACAGGAGACTTGGGACAAAGTTGTAAAAAGGGAACCTTGCTGCTTACTAATAAGTTACTTTCTGGCACAATACTGACTCTGAACCATACTCCAACTAACACAATTACAATAAAATTGGAGAATAAATAATAGTAACTGATTCTGGTTAATAGACTATTTAAATTAACATTTGATATAACAATTCCATTACTACAAAAGAAGATGGATGGTCCCTGAAATTCTTTTATAGAACACTAGGTCTTTTTAGAAAGTAAAACCTAAATCTGACCTTATCTGAGATCAGAGACCCCTAATGAGCAAAGACCCTAGAGAGCAAAGCAAGAAATGGGCTAAAAAATGCTTTCCCCACCTCGACACTGACCTGCAACCACTGAAAAACAAAGTGCCACATCTGCACTATCTATCCATAGGTAGTGGATAAGCTCCTGGGCTACCACTGGATTCAAACTGTCCTATAACTAAAAAAAGCAAAATTCATGTCTCTAGTATTCTGACATTTTATAGAAACAGTACATGTAAAATAGACAATAATGAAAAGAGGTTAGAGAAAAATTTCATTTGCTCAGAAGATATACTTTGTATCATCTTTCCAACTAAGAGTTTGGATAGGATCATAGATTTAGGGCTAGAAAGAATCTGAAAGGTCATCTAACCCAACTCTTTCATTGCGTAGATGAAGAAGCTGAGACCCAGAGGGGTCCAGTGATTTCCCAGGGTTATAGAGTAAGAAGAAGCGGCAGAGACAAGACAAGACTAAGTTGTACTTCCCAGAGGCCATTAAGAGGCAATTAAGTACTGGGCCTGAAAGCAGGAGGACCCGAGTTCAAACCCAGCCTCAGACATTAGCTGTGTGACCTTGGGCTTATCCTTTGTTTGCCTCAGTGTCCTCTTTTATTTATTTATTTTTTTTTAGGCAGTTGGGCTTAAGTGACTTGCCCAGGGTCACACAGCTAGTAAGTGTCAAGTGTTTGGTCTGAGGCCGCATTTGAACTCAGGTCCTCCTGCCTTCAGGGCCG